CTTCACGGTGTCAAGCAGATCCTAATTTAGTTATCTGAACATTTTCGATTTCTAGAGGAAAGTCTGATGGGTTTTCAACTCCAACAATGTAATTTGCAAACTGTACATTTAATTTTTTAAGTATAAAGAGATGTGTAGATTCTGAATTAAACTTCAGTTACTATTATTATTACTATTCTCTGAACTTTCCAAATATTCAGTCATAACTTGAAGTCAACTTTATCCTAACAGCCACAACAATTTGCAGCGATGATATTAAAATTTATTTAACAATTGGATCTGGTCCCAGTGGCTGAATATTATACAAGCTTGCCTTGTAACCGGAAGGTTGTAAGTTCGAACCCAAATGGGCGCGTACTGGTGAAGAGGCCTACACTAGGAGGAAAGAGATGTCTAGTACTCTTAGATCTTCCAATCATTCTGTAACTGATGTAGACTCGTGATTAAACCGCCGAGTTTTAATCAAAAATTTCTTATACACGTCTATTTCGACAAACTGCTCGAAGAAGCAGCAAAGACAGGACTCCAGGTGAGCAAAGACAAGACGGAGGTTATGAAAATAAACAACCAACAACAACAACAGCAGCAGCCAGAACATCCAGCGCCAATCACCATCAACGGGAGGGATTTGAAAGAGGTCATTTCATTCACTTATCTACGGAGCATTGTCTCAACTACAGGAGGAACGGACCAGGATGTCAAATCGAGAATTGGGAAGGCGAGAAACACATTCATCAACCTGAAACCAATGTGGAAATCTTCGTCACTCAGCATCAACAACAAAATTCGGATTTTCAATACAAACGTCAAGTCGGTCTGTTCTTCTACACGGATCAGAAACTTGGCCAGTGTGTCACAAAGAATATTTCCAACAGCCTGTTGCAGACCTTTATCAACAGCTGTCTCCGTTCTATACTGAAGATCAGATGGCCGGAAAGAATCACCAACAAGAAACTATGGGAACAAACAAAACAAGAACCAATGGCTCAACAAATATGCAGGAGAAAGTGGAGATGGATTGGACACTCGCTGAGGAGGCCGCTGGGTGATATCGCGCGTCAGGTCATAGCTCGAATGGAACCCTGGAGAGAAGCGGCGAGTGAGACGTCCAAGGGTGACATGGAGGAGATCGTGTGAAGAGGAGCTGAAACAGTATCGACTAACATGGATGCAGTTGTAAAGTACAGCAGAAGACACGAGGAAGTGGAGACGTGCAGTTGAAGCCCGATGTTCCACAAAGAACCTAAGGGAACAACAATAATAATAGTATGATTCTAAATAGTCAAGAAAACAATCTTAATTGCATTCATAAATACTTACTGAGATCTTCATTAAAACCGATTCCCTTGATTAGTTTGGACAAAGAAAGGACGAACATATTCGCAGGAGAATTTGAAATTGAACGAGCTTATATTATCCTGCAAATGTGTTCATTCTTTCTTTGTTCAAATCATTGAGATCTAATTATCTTCAAGTATTGGCTTTGTAGGGATTTTGTTTGATTGGGTAAAGGATTTCACCATGAGCTGACATCGGTTAGAGAACTACTGGTAAACCAGCTGGGAGTACTGGACAGCTGTTTCCTCCGTCCTTATTTGAGACTATGCAGCAGTACAAACCCCACTCTAGGGTTCGAACCCAGGACCTTCTGGTTACAAGACCAGTGCGCTCGCAGACCATTGAGCCACTGGGACCCGATCCAATAGCTAGCCCATGAATTCTCACTTCTGCTAATTCACGAAATAGCGCGACCACTTAGTAGTGTCTTTTTCGATGAGCTATTGCCTCACCTTCAACCTGCCTGGGTTCGAACCCTGGTTGGTGCGTCCTGTGGAGAGTCTCAATCTAGGACGGGAGAAACAGCTGTCCATTACTTCTAACTGGCTTTCCAATGATTCTCTAGGTGATGTCAGCTCATGATGAAATCCTCCATCCAATCTAATTATCTGGTGAGTACTTTCAGTTGTTTTCTTCCTGCATTTCGACGGTGTAAATTATCACAGCTGTTCTGAGAACTGGATATAAACACATATATATTATGAATATTCACTGACTTTGTTTAGCCAGCTGGCTAGATATAGCGCATTGTGAGGCAAGAAAACGTCTTTAGATTTCTTCTAGTTTTAATTATTTACTAATCACAGATAGGTGGACAGTTTGTATTAAATGGCGTAATTTAAACCCTGTAACTGTAATGAGGAAAGTTACACAATTAGTTTTAACTCTAAAGTGAATGTTATTTAAAGCTCACCAACATTTTGGTAGTAGCTAAAGAATTTAGAGGTCAAAGTCCCTTCTGGGCAGTATCATCTCTACTATAGGCACAGCAAGTAATGGTGTTGAAGCCAGGCACAATTTAGAAAGCAGAGCAGGCGTCCGTTACTGTGAAATCAGAGTCTATGAGGTAAGGATGTGCGGCTACTTTGCGTATTCGATCGTCGCCTTGTCTGCAGAATTGCTTGCGTTTGGTTTCATTATCGTTTGAGTAATTCTGAGGTCCAGTAGCATGTGTTTTAATACAGTGGAGATAATCATTCACTGAATGTCGTCATCTGACAACAATGGCTTTCTTATCCTGGATATGTTCTAAAATGTCTTTCTAGAGACAACTACCTTACCCGGTCTGTGTCCACTAGCCCTGGGACGGGATGGAAAAATCGGAGAGGTTGTCAGCCCATGCCATGGCGTCTTGAGAAAAAGGATGTCTGTGGTAGGTTAGCATCGGTTAGTACACCAAGATTTCATGGTTAGGGTCCGAGAGATAGTTGTGATTGGTGGCTAAAAACCTTATCAGGTATAGCCAAGAATCCCAATCAATAGCGAACGTGCTGCAAATTCCTTTCCTATTCCGTTTTTGACAGTGATTCAAAGGATGATGTTTGATCTTGATAAACATAGTTGCTTCCTTTGTGAATGAAGTAATTCATCCATTCTCTCGTTATTTTCTTTATATATTGTTTTATTACGTGGCGCATCTTCTTGGGGCCCATGTTGGAGTAGGTTTTGTGATTTAAATGAATAAATAACAAAAAATCAGCATGGGAATCTGCAGTACTTATTACAACGAAGGAATTCACCCCAAAGCTTCTAATATGGTTCAGAAACTAGGCACCAGAATCATTAAAAGCACACTAAACAGACTGCAACACGCTCTCGCCATCAGGCCATTTCTTGCAAATCATAAAGATTAAACAACACGGAATATTAGTAGTGAACCTATCGCTCAACAATGCTGCATGACAAGTATTCCACAACGGGAAACTTACGGAATCCTTCGAAGTGAGGACAAGTGTAAGACAAGCTGGCTGCCTACTATCGCCAATGATTTTCTTGATTGCAGTAGATTGGATAATGCAACAAACAGTGGGCAATGAGGAAACAGGCATAAAATGGACTCATACAAAATACTTGGAGGATCTGGACTTCGCCGATGATATATTTCTGATTTTCCACAAACTGGAAGATATGCAAACGGAAAGCAACAAGTTGGCAGAAGAAGCATCCAAAGAAGACAGGACTTCAGGTGAACATAGAGAAGACAGAGGTGATGAAAATTCCTGACCAACAGAAACAGCCACAGCAACAACAGACAACAATCAGCATAAATGAGGAGAGAAATCTGAAAGAAGCAACCTCCTTTACCTGCCCACCTGGGAAGCATCGTTTCAACTACAGGAGAACGGAACTGATGAGGATATCAAAGCGAGGATCTGGAAAGTAAGGCAAGCTTTCATTACTCTTCAGTCTGTGTGGAAGTCAGCAGCACTCAGCGTCAAAAATAAGATCCGGATTTTCAACTCCAATGTGAAGTCAGTGCTACTAAACGGATCAGAGACTTGGTGCGTCATAAAGAGCATCTCAAACAAACTACAGACCTTCATTAACAAATGTCTTCGCTCAATACTCAAGACCAGATGACCAGAAAAGATCAGCAATAGAGAGGGATCTCTGGGAGCCAACCAACACAGCAGGAACCGATTGTGAAACAAATAGGCAGGAAGAAATGGAGATGGATTGGCCATACTCTGAGGAAACCATCAAGTGACATCACTAGACAAGCCATTGCTCGAGTGCAACATGGCCGAAAGGGAAGCGGCGAGTTGGTCGTCAGTGCGATGCTGGGTGACTTGGAGGAGGTCATGTGAAGAGGAGATGAAAACGTGTGGGCAGACTTGGAGCCAGATGAAGACTCTAGCAGAGAACCGAACGCAATGGAGACACACGGCTGAAGCCCTATGTTCCTCTAGGAATTAAAGGATACAGTAATAATAATAATACTATCGCTCAACAGATACACAGAAATAAATGAAGATGGATTCATCACCTTACACCCTGGGCGGGGGGGTGGGAGGAGACCTTCAGGTTTCACTGCATGCCCCTACATCAAGTAAGTAAGATTCAAATAAGACGTGAAAAGTTAGGTGTGGATCTGATTTTGAAAAGAGGAAATGAAATCTTCTGATTAATCGAGGAGTGAACTTAAAAGTGATAACAGAGAATAAACTGGAATTAACTAGACGTTCCACTGAGGTTTCACATTTACCTCGAAAAGTTTGTGAATTCATAATTATTATAAATACAATATAGAATATCAAATTTTTGTCTAACCTCTTAAGACCCTATTAAATATGAACCAGACAATAGTATAAGGATTAAATCAAATATATTAGTAATTATATGACATTTTTAATAAATAATAAGTGTAATAATGACTTGAATTTTATTTTAATTTTGATAACGAATTAAACAAATGCCTTAATGGACTTGGTTATCATGTAAATAATTCTAAATAACAAATAATTTAAGAATATAAACAATAAGGTGTAACAAGTGATTAACACTCACACACACACACACTCACATACAAGTAGAAAACACCAGGTTTTATGCACAAATTACAAAAACAGTTTCAACAGTTTAACGTTATACAGGTTACACTAGACAAGAATGCCTTCCCCCTCCCCATATCTGTTAGCCTTCAAACCACCTCCACATTCTGCTAGGCATCACATAATTAACACATTGTCTTAGTCAATGTATTTTTTCATTTTGTCTGATATGGCGTGATATTTTTAGGGTTGAAAATGTATATAAAAGTAGCTTAGGTGTCACATACAATAGTGTTTCAATATCAAACAGTTGTAAAATTGAGCAGTAATCAAAATGAAATTCATTTTCGCCTTGAGTTTGTTCGTTCTTATGGCAGTAGTCTACGTCGAGTAAGTTTTTCTGTCGTGTACATATATTATACAAGTTAATTATTATTTCATTAAATTTAATTGATTGTTACTTGCTGTCTTAAGCAGTTTTATTAAACTTAGAAGGATAGATTTTGTAAGTTAACTGATGTATTATTAGTAAGAGCATACTGGACTATTCCTGTCGTTCCAGTATGAGAATCTTCAGTAATCATCAAGCTGTGATATCTCCAAGGTTAGAACCCAAAATGTATGAATTCCATGTTCTATTAACTGTTAGAATTATTAGAATTGACTGAGTTTATCAACAGGTTCACCTCACAACCGAGACGATCTACAGTTCGACTCTTAATGAAGTCATGACTCCTTATTGGTAGGAAGTCTCAAGCTAGGACAAGCTACCTGTCCACTGGACTCTAGATTTCAATATTTGTCTCTATACTGATGTAGGCTTGAGACAGAATCTGTATTGATCCATATATATATGCAAGGACTTGAGGCGTAAGGATGACTAGACAATGATACATTAGAGAATACTGCCCTTTTTATGATTAAAAAATATTTACAGATGCATTAACGTGCATAGCATATATTAGACGTGGTTTTACTGCATTCATTACGTAATAACTACCAGCTATCCCTCAACGACATTTACGTATGGAATAGAAAATATTGTAAAAAAAACAAGACAGTTCTGACTTTGATTTGTATGTTGTTGTATTAGGAAACAATCTGTAGTCCTCGGCTTCTGAAATCCCCCCGAGGAATTCTCATGAATTCTTCTACTTTTATTTATCATTTGTTTACTAATGATGAAGGGATTCTTTTTATGCATTGAATAATGACGGGTAACTCTCTAAAAAGGCTGGTTATTAGTTTTCGTAGATGTTTAATCCTCCTCATCAACTGACTGAATATATTGGTCAGTATATTAAGTTATGTTCTCCGGCCTAATCACGATTGATCACGATTTCAGCTGATGAATCCGATTGACATGAACCATCCATCCCATTGCAGTAAGGTCAGTCAGTTACTGAGTTGGGCAAATTAAAATTATCCTTATACATATATATTCTTTTGAATCAAAAGTCCCACTTTCCTTTAAAAGTTTTAATTAATGATCCTTTTTATATTTATTTTTCAGTGCAAGACCTGGTAACGACGATCAGATGGTAAGTTAATTATATATACACCCTTTATAAAATATAAATAACAACAGCTACAAACTGCAACTGAAGTTGGTCAGAAGCTTAGAATGTTAGTAGTCAAAATGATGACAAAGGTTCGTCAACAAGTCTCTGAATACTTGGAAAGAGATGGTCTTGGTGAAAAACTTAAATCTGTTCTCCTCATCCGTAAGTCGAGTCATCAAAACATTAAATATTTTAATCATATTTTTTTTTAATTTCAGTTATTCAACGTTTAAATAACCGCTTAGATAATTATGCATCAAAGATGGATTAAACGTTACTGATGACTACAATGACGTCCTCGGTTTTCCTTTTTTGTCCGTCTGTTATCGGTATCATACTTTGAATGCATTCAAATTTTGTTCTGAACACTATTTTACTACTCAACACATATATATTGTTCTGCGTTAATTCCAATGAAAATCGACAATTCGATTGTTCAAGTCATGTGTAATTCCTTAATATATATTAATATTTTATATACATATACAACAACATTTGTGTTTAATATTTTCAACAACATTCACCTTTTCTCTTCTTTTCTACAATAAACATATATATATATATTGAACATTCGTTTTTTGTTTGTTTGTTTTATTCAAAGTATTCTGTGGAATATGTTTAGCGTGTTCTTTAAATACTTTTATTTTTTAGGGGAAACAGGGAAATATCATGTTAGTTTCTTCTAGAATTTCAAGTTAATTCAGTATGTTTGCATTTGATTCGTACTCGTCATTCGCGTATGATTTCAGCAGGATTTGTGTAATTAGATGTCAGTCTTTTCAAACCAGTAGGATTTAGTAGTCAAATGAAAGTGTTACTTGTTTGGCAACGAGCTTATTCGAGGTGAGATGAGTTCTAAGTTCAGGATAAATTGAAATGATAAAGTTCAGTTATTTTATGATGCAATGAGATTCTTGTATAATAGATGAAAGTGAAGTTGAAACTAAAACAAGTGTTAAATAACCTGGATTACCTCTTTTCTCTAATCTTCGCTGGTCTTAATTTTTGGAAGGAAGTTAAGTCAGTTTTGTATCATTGAATCTCTTTACTCTTAATCTTATTTTACTTTATTGCTCTGCTCACAACTTGATCTTCTCTGAGTTACTTAAGAAAGACTTTGTTATACTGCAAAAAGCAATAAAAACTGTTGGTAGGGTGAGTGAGGTGTTCCTAAACTAACTTATTAGAACAGATACCTGAACTCTTGCCGAAAATTAGTGAATATCTTCTTGCCGGACTGATTAAAAATGCTCATTAATGGTGAGCGAACAAAGAATATTCTTTTCGATAACCTGGTCTTCATTAGGTTCTACAGTTATATATATACATTATAGTGAATGAATTAGTGTTAATAAAAACATTCATGTCGTTTAAATAACATCGAATCAATAATTATATCAATGGATTACAGTACGACAGAATCCAAATGACAATACAGCGAATATCAGAAAAATTAGGGAAAAATAATGATGAAGAGACGACCTTCAGCGAAGAGACTCTTTTCGGCGAATTCATTCACATTGCTGTACAACCGCATTTATATATAATTATTTGAGAGTGTCTGTACATGAGGTTTGTCAAGTTTAGATAATTGATTAGTTAATACAAGAATGATGTAATATAGAGACAAAGTTAATCAGACAGCAACTGAAGTAAGATTGAGTTAGTAAGCTAGATGACGTAATATAATTGACTAGAAACTGAGCGTTGTTCAAGTCAGTAACAGTGGTAGTGAGGTGTAGAAATTTATTACGGTGGGGGTAGAGAACAAGAAAGTTGGAAATGTAAAGTATTACAATTGAGAAGACAAAATAATACTAATGAAGAGACAGAAGAAAAGATTAGGTAGAATATACTTGTCGGCTAATAAGATAGATTACGTCCATTGCAAGTGTAGTGATTGAACGAACTTCTTCTGTATGCAGATTCCAGGACTTAGCAAGTGAATTGCCATTGCTTCTGCAGTTTGAAGAAGTCTGATTCGTACACCTTTACGAAGACTACTTCTTACTCTGTAGAAGACTTTGAAGTTTGTTTGAGGTGTAGCTTGGTGTCCGGATTCTATCAGATGTTCTAAGATGGAACTGCGGGGGAATCGATTTTCCCCTTTGTAAAAACATGTTGGTAAGTGCTTGGTGATACGTTTGGAAAGGGAGCGCTGGGTACGGCCGACATACCTGGCTCCACACGAGCAGGTTAATTGACAAATACACATTGATGAGGCCAGCGGTGGTAGCTTATCCTTCACGTTCACATGAATCATAGGTTTTGTGGAGAAGGTTAGTCGTAGTTCATCTGGGAAGAAGGTCTTCTTAAGTGAGCGCGACAGTCGATTTTTTAGTGTTTCCGTAGATAAATCTCCATTGAATTGAAGGTTCATGTAGAGTAGTTTTTTCGGGACGCTGAAAATAATGATACAAATTTATGAGTTTATAGTCTCCACTGAAGGCTAGCCAGGGCAGTAGTAGGGGCTGGACGTGTTTCTGTTGCACACAGAACATCGGTTGTTTCAGTCGAATCGCGATAAACTCTGCCGTTTGGAGTGTGCGGTATCTGGATGTTTTTGACAATTTGTTTGGTATCCGATAGATGACGGAGAAGGACTCTTCACTACTGGCTTTGTGGCCAGTTTGAACCAGGTGTCCTAATATGGAGCCTTTGGTGCTTCTAACTACACCTTTACCTAACCACACTGGTAGATGTTCCCGAGCGAACACGAAAAATCAAGTTCCTAGAGCAGCGGCCAACATAACTGGCTCCACCACAAGCGCAGATGAGTTGCTGGATACAGACAGAAGCGGCTGGTCTAGGAACTTCATCTTTCAGCTGAGGAATTACAATCCACCTTGTAGGAAATAAGACTTGTAGTTTGTCAGCGTTATAAGTTATCTGAGTAGACTTTCTTAACTTTTTGTAAGTATTTCGCCCTTGAGTCGCAGCCGTATGTAGAAAGGCTTCTTGTTTACGGATAGTCAATAATCCTTTTCAACTTTCTTAGTCAAATGTTTCGTGGTGAATTTGTCCTGATAGTTATTTCCGACCAGTATATCATATTCAATCCTTAGTTCATTTTCAGCTGCCTCTTCTGAGCATATAGCTTTAAGCCTGTGACTGAGGTCCTTACTAAATATCTTTTGTACTGGAGAGGAACAGAGCAATCACAGTGTGTATATCGTCCTATGCAAATTTCTCTCTAAACTACCCTTTGGTTATCTTGTAATGAGGACGTCTAGGAAGGCTATTGATTCTATGTTGGGTTTCGTCTTCGCACATGAATTTCATACCAGAATGTACTTCATTGAACTGAATTGTTATTGTGTTCCTCTCCAAATCATAATCACAAAGAATAAAGGTGTCATCCATATACCAGCAATAAAATGAGAATTTTCTGATAAAGTTGTTCAAAAGTCCATTTCCTAGTTTACTTAGGAAGAAATCTGCCAATATGGGACTCAGTGGTGAGCCCGTTGCCACCTCGTCCACTTGTTTGCAAAGTATGTCAACAAATTTAAAATGTACACTCATGGTACACCTCAACAAAAGTTCTTTTGAGATTTCCGTTGGGATACCAATATTTATCAACTGGTTATACACTTGTTCACATATGTAGTTGACTTTTTCTACTAGAGGTTCTTTTGTTAGTAAAGAGGTTATGTCCAAACATAACATAGTTTTATCCTTGATATTCATATCTTTGATTTTTTCCTCTTAAATACCCCCCCCCCCATGGTATGTGATGTAAAGAGCGAATTAGACGCAATATTGTAAAGCGTGCTGAAAAATCTAGATTGTGTCATAAATACTGTTTCGAATAAAGGCATTTATTATTATGATTATAATCACCTTCCTTAGAATAGGACGTCGTAATATCAGTGGTTAACTCCATTTATTAAACAGGTTGACATTTATTCCTTGTATGAGTTTAAACCAAGTGACAAGTAATAATAGAGCAGGATTTGATGAATTCAACGAAATTTGATGGCATTCGACTGTTGAACAATCCTCATAAATTTTCATACGCGTCATGTGAAATATATGAGGATGTATTCGACAAAGGAAATTACAAGGAATCGACTATGGAAACATAAGATGTAAGAATGTATGAGTCAAATTCAGACTCTGAAAGGAGTGGAAATTTGGGCAAAATATGGAATTTCAGGTAATCATTCGAAGCTGCATGTCTCAACGATTTGGGCAGGTGATTACAAATAGTAACTTTACTTTATTACATGTGTAATAACTCCCATAAATGTACTTAAAAAGTGACTTGCGCATAGTCCAATGGATAGACGATGGAAGTAGAACCTTCGCCAAATTTTAGATAGGCGACAGGTGAATAAAAAACACAAAGCAGAAAGAGGATTTCATTAGGGTTCATCCTAACTATTATGACAAAACAGTCAATCTGTTTGAACAAAATACTGAAGCTTATTCATCTTCAGATAAAGATGTAGCTGAACACTTTCCGGTTTGGTTAATGAAAGGCGAATGTAGAACTGCGAAGTCGTCTATTTGTAATCACCTGTTAGAGTTTGGTCATTCAGCCCCACGTGATTCATCCTTCAAGGTTATCTGCATGGCAGAATCAAATCGATCCAAAAGTTTACCTTTTCTTCACTTATGCATAGCCGAAGCTTTAGCTATACATGAACAGAAGGCTAAATTATGTGTTCAAAAACGTTTTGTCAAACCCCTTTCTTTACCTTGGTCATAGTAATGTTCTTTGTAGTTTTTATTTTACCACTTGAATTCTTCCCACTTCACTTCACATCTTCATTCTTATCGTAATCGTACTCCTAATTATTAAAATTTTTAAACAACACTTGACATTTAAAAAAAATTATTGATATCAGTTCACTTTCTAAAACAATCTTTAATAAATTTGTAATCCATCCACTTCAACTCTACCCCTTATAACATTTTAATTATCGTTAATCTTATCATATATATATGTATATTGACTGAGCAATTATTTAGTGCCACTTAATAACCTTTTCTATAATATAAATACGACTGTACAGCTCGAAAATGAAGTTGTTGGAAAGAAATTTCTTCTCTGAACAAAAAAACTGTGTTTTTACTTATGAAAGATGTAGGTCCTAATTTCAGATATCTTTCGTAAGAGAAAGCATTTTCACTGTCCATCTTCTTAGTTATCTCCATCAGGAGTCATTATTAACACTGAGGAAGACAAGAGTTTGTCCCATATTTGTTGCGAAATCACAATAATCAAATGAAAGAATTTAAACTCTACGGTTAGATGTGTTTTCGTAATACGCTGAACATTTCACTAAACTGCAATAAAGGATTTTAGACTGCCTGCTTGATAGTTAATAAGAGGCCTCAAAAATGACAGAAATTCTTCAGGCTAATCTTATATGTGTTTCACAGCATACAGACACTCGGCTATTTCAGAGCTCTGGTACTTAAAAATATGAATGACACTGAGAACGTAAAAATTCTCAAAAGAATAATATGAAACTTAAGTTAAATTATTTTCTTATTGCATCTAAGTTACTTAAAATAAAATAAGTAGTCATTACTTATTAACGAAACTGAGGTTTGCATATTCAAATAAATACGCAAACCGAATAAACTAGCAGCTTAAGATGAGGACGTGAAAGATGTGATGTTGCATTTCAGGTAACATCAAAATTCAAACTGTTTAAGGTATGATAAAGTCCACTGATGAATTTCGTGCTGGTGATGAAACATCTACATCCAAATATCAAAATGTTTATCTGAAAAATGACAGAATCCAAATTGCATCAGTATTATAATATCTAGCAATGTGATCGACCATAAGCTAATATATAGTCGCAGGGTCTCCATTTCACTCTCTAACTCCCGCCCAACTCCTCACTTCGTATTCGAGTTCCAGTTTTTGGTTCTGCTTGTGACAGATATCATATGATAGTCTCCTCAGTGTGTCCGATCCACCTCTTTTCCATCCAAAATATTTATTTAGCGACAGGTTCTTGATTGGTTCATTCCCAGAGATTTTCTTTCCGCTAATTCTTTCTAACTGGCTATCTGTTCTTCAATATGCCGTCAGCGAAGGTAGTTGTTGATAAAAGTCTGCCATTGTCTGTTAGAAATGCTTTTCTTGACACGCAGTACAAGTTTCTGACCCATTTAGAGGAACTGACTGAATTAACATTTTCGCTAACAATTCGAATTTCGTTCTTTACACTGAGTGCAGCAGATTTCGAAACTGATTTCTTAGTGAGGAAAGTCTAATTTGCCTTTCCCACACTGACTGGTTTTCACATCCTCATAGTGGCTGTAGGCTGTGGTTGAAACGATGGTGTCTAGATAAGTGGAGGAAGTCCTCTCTACCAAATATCTCCAAATTAATGCACAGTATCAACGAAATAAGAATGAATGCTTTTCATTCTATTAGCAGAATTTCGGCATTAGCGTAGTAAATGAAGGAAGTTAGGATGACAAAATATTGTGCTACAAATATGGAAAAAAGAAAATGGATATTTGTCACAAGTTAGGAAGATTATTCTAGAAGATCCGATTGTTAACTTAATAACAAAAACAATCATTTTCAAGAGATGCGTGGTATAAATTTGACTGCTTTCAATTTTCATTGAAAAAACACTTCAAACATAGAGTCGTAGAAAACAATCAGGAAGTAGTGGAGAGATGATTTGTCACACTCAGGGACTTCTCAAGAGTACCAAAACACTCCAGTTCGAGCCCAAGAGCTTCCTAAAATATGTCATGCTCGCTTATCATAGAGCCACCACAACACAACCTAATGGTCAACCAATGAATTCCAACATCTAATTATTTGTGATTTTTGTGCGAGCATCATCCAATGATATCGGCGAGTTTTTATCCTCTACCTAAACATCCTAGAACTTACTGCTTACAATTACTCACTACAACTTCAGAAAACTTCACCTCCAACCATCCAATATCATCACAAACAATGTACACCGTGATGGCGAGCTACCTAGAATGGTGGTCACATTACAACCTGACTAATAGAATTCAGTCTGCACCAAAGAGAGGACTAGACGCATCACACTAGTTACTAGTGTCAAATGAAAATATCCACTAGAGTCCTACAGGAGGTCAATCGCGAGCCCGAATAGCTCAGTGGTAACGTCTCTGACTGCAGCACTGGGTGACGCGGGTTCGAATCTCAGAAGGGACATGAGTTCTTAATAGGTTGAATTTATGTCTTGCTGACTAGTGCCAACAGCTCTCCAATACTCCCTGGTTTTCAATGCTTCTATGACTGACGTCGATCGTCAATGAGTCTAGAAAGACTTATTGGCCAGAAACAGATTGCAGATAAAGACTCCACAAACATATACAAACAAGCATTTCAAAATCAGTTAGATGAGTTGATATCAGTGAAGCGAAACGATGTCACAATAATCATAGGAATAAACATCACAGTAATGAGAATAGCCAGAAGTCAGAAACCAGAATACATAATTAAGCAATAAGCGAAATGTTATATATTTGTTTACTCCAAACAGTTTTCCTCTTGCCTTCACAAAGGTGGATATATTCACTGGGAGAGAATCATTGTCAAACACGGAGTATTACAGATACATGAGTCATTCCTAGGGTCATAACCCATCTACCATAACAGATGCTTATCGAAAAGACTAGACTACAACAGGTGAAGATAATGCGTATCTCAGTAGTACCGTCTCTGACTGGTGGAATCGGTGACTGAATCAGAAGGGATATGACATCCTTCAGGAATGCAAATTCGCCTCGGTGACTGGTGAGTGCCGACAAGAATAAAAGCTAGGCACAGAGAATCCTGCAGATCTCCTCCAAAATACCTAATAATGTAGGGACAATTTAAGGAGATGTAAATACCTTGATTATCAGTTAACATTATGATCAAGAATGTGATAAATATATAATCGCTAAGATACTCAGAATGAAATTCAAGGGTAGACATTCGTATCTCACAATAATGCCTCGTATGCTCAATCGCCAGGGAATAAATTCGTCTGGATCTAGTACATGTAGAACAATATTTATTCACGAATTTAGTACGCAGCTCTGAAACACTGTTCTATAACAGAATGTAACAATATCCAATAGTGAAATTATATCACCCTAAATTAATCATTTAGGTATACAACTATGATAGACAACAACACGCTTCAACCTCACACACACAAACACAAACACGAACACATAAAGCAATGCTCAACATTTGGAAGACACATACTCTCACAATTACACTCACAACACAAATGCATATTCATCTGATTTCTTAACAAATCGCATTTTCGTGAGTGATACACAATCAGTGAATATTTATCACAAAAAATCCAAACTAATAGACACTTACACGGAAATCCATTGAAACCATCAAATATAAACAGTCAACCACACCAACAAAATCACAATCATCACTTCAACGGTGATCGAAACTCACACAAAACACCGAAAATATACAGGTCAACATACTTTAAACATACAATGTTGAATACACACACACTAAGGTCACTGTGAATAAACAAAACAATTGAGGACACGAAGTGCCACTCCAAAATCACTATATAATGAGGGGGCACAGAGGAGTGCAGTGCGTTCAATTATATCACATCTCTCGCGTTGTCTCACGTATGATGAAGTTCATTGTGTTGCTATTCGCATTATACTGCATCGTCATCCCCACGATATTGATAAAGTGAGTTGAATTTGTGAAATTAACAAGTCTATTTCATTGTCATGTTTATTCCGTGAAAACGAGTAGTTGGTTGTATTGGTAGTGTGTTAGGCGGTTCATAGAACAGAGTCAATATTCAATCATTTCAACACGTTTCAGACAAATGCAATCACTCCATAGAGACGACATCCTTCCTCAATTTCCACACACAGTATTACATATCAGTGTTGCTCATCCTGATTTGCATCCGAAAACACACAGTTCAATAGGCGATCAAAAGTTACAAGTAGGAATTTAGAATCAACTCTGCACACCTAGTGAAGAGACGATTCAACGAGTCATAGAACAAGCTCTCACATCTGGAACTCACGATTAAGAAGAATTGAGGGACTCATCAGTTGTTTTGGAAGATATTCAATAATGAAAATCTCACGCTTTGCAAGCAAACGAATCAGAAAATGGGACTGTAGTGCATTCCTCAGAATATGCGAAATCCCAATAGATTGCGAATGAAAGCGTATGAAATAACGATGACCACGTTAATATGGATTCATGCAGTAACTTAGGTGACACCTAAAAGCTGTCACGACGCAAAACAGTTAGTCAATATTCAAGACTATACATTGTTAGCACGAATTTATACGGGAGTTGGAACAGATTTCACCATCAAATTAACACATTAAATATGCAAACACCTCAAATCTAATTATTCGTTTAAAACTGTTGTGTTACAACGCGCCATCATTCAAATGTTTAGAAACAAGATATAATCCCACATTACTAACATCTCTGTTTCCAATCCCTTCACAGTGTCAACGCCACAGAAACAGACCACCATGAAGAGGAACACCATAAGGAGAACAAAACACATTCGGACATGGCCAAAATGGAAGGTGGAATGGTAATCACATCACGCATGTCATGCACAAACACATCATATAACCATTTGATTTGTAGATGCCAATATACATGGTGATGAAGGAGTCGATCAGAAAGGGACGAATGCATATCTACAAGGTTGTCGATAAATATCTCAAGAAGGATGATTTAGACAAGAAATTGTTGGAGGTCGCCAAAATAAGTGAGTCATATTCACACATTAATTGACCTCTTCTACTCACCTTTGTATCACCTGATTAGTGGGCAAACGCATTGAGAAGCGTATGCAATACTGGGCAATGAAGATGGAGGAGATGCTCAAATTTGAAACATCTTAATCGCTGAAATGTCAACCAGCCAACAGTTCTCTTTTACTTCGATTCCTCTAGTATCTAACACAAACTGTATATGTAGATATATGTAAATTAACTATTTAATAAATTCATTGTCTTCCTCATTCATTGTTCAGCATTTGAAGACTCTGATCTGTTGAGAATGAGCCGATGAGTAAACGAAGTTCAGATATAGAATATATCGCTTGGTCGTTGTGTCTCTGAGTTCATGGTTTGTTAGTTAGTTAGTTGAAAATATGGGTCTCTCAACATGTTAATGAAAACAATGACAGACGACAGTTTACCGAATATGTCAACAGAATTCAGGAAAGTTATTGTTGACTGGTTGAGTTAATGCCTGCAGTCGTTGACATCTAACTTCTCATCCAGAGAATGGTGAATAGAATGATTGAAACAGTTCGACAAACGTTGTATCTACGTTCACGTGTACTCACTAGGAATGATGGAAAACGCATCTGAATGGCTAGGCTATTGTCCTACGGAATGATAGCTAATGCTAGTGGTAACGTGGATTCCACTTTTCGTAGGAATTGTGATTGTAATGTCAGTTTACCTGAGAAACATTCAAGCTGTCAACATATCAATTTTCCCACACCTTTGAGGTAGGAGAATTTCGTTCTGTCTACCGAAGATATCAATTGGAGCATCGGAAAGGGAAGAGTTCGTAGTTCGTGAAAGAGTTTCTCTTCCTCAGGTTCACTTGCGTAGCTGTGGAATCACACATTTACATGATATCTTGATACTAGAAATCCCACAATTCAATCTAAGAACAATAAACATAAGTGAACAATATCATGTGCAAGGGGATATCCTAAGGCTTTATTCTAACATGTAAAACTTTGTAAGAATAGAATAAATATCAAATACGAAACAACGAATCATGATAATATGTCAATAGTATGATGTCTTTGAATTCTGCTTTTACTGGCAGTAATAATAATAAATATTATCAATATTATTATTATTATAATAGCAGTTATAAGGTTAGAGGTAGGAATGATAATGGATAATGGAACGACTCGATGCCATGAGAATACTGATATCATCTGAGCAATACAAACAAACATTCAAACTGACGTAATAGACAAATGCTTAAGAAAAGCTTAATTGTAAGGGACGTAGATAAACTCTGTTCTAATGAAAATGCGATACGACTAAGAAAGGCTCGCCAAAAATGTGATCAGAAAGTGATTCAATGTGTGTGAGTGAAGCAGTGGTATAATTATCTGACTAGGTCTACACAAGTCAAACGACGAATAATCAGTATCCCAATCTTTTCTTAACACAAAGTTAAGGATTTAATAGTTTGAATGCTAATCGCTTTAGACAAACAAGTGAATGCGACAAAACTGAATTTCGCATGCTTTTTAACTGTTCTTTACTAAACCATGATGGAAGGTCTTTTGCAAGACGTTGGCTAAGCCATCTAGTCCCAACTGCCACAAGACTGTAGGGGAAAGACTTGGTTTCACTTTGTTTCACCCATCTAAGGTGAACAATTTTCAGTTCAGTGTTTCTTGATTGTGACCCACATAGTATAGTGGACATATTGCAGACTTGCAGCAGTCAGAGACGTCACCTATGAGCTATTCCGGCTCATAAACTTGGAAACAGGAGTAATAGAATTCAGGCTCCAACATGTATAGGACCAGAAACATTACACTGATTACTGCCTAGTTTGCAATCATAGTATATTTACCATTATTGATTTTAGTGCGAATATGAACAGGTTCTTAAGTAAATTTAAATTAAATAAATTTATCCGGCATGGTTAGCAAAGGAACAGTGCAAGGCAATTACTAGCTCAATTCTCGAGCATTTCGTGAACTGAGGGCACGTAGCTCCACCGGAGTCGTCTTTCAAGATCATCTACAAAGTCAAGCCAAATGGTACGAATGGCGTCAAGTTTCGGCTTTTGAGTATGATGGAGGGGCTGGCAAATCATCAATACAACCCTGATCTCTGTATACAGAGAAAGTTTGTCCAGTCTCTTGTTCTACCTTGATCTTAACCTTCTCACTTATCGTTTCCTGTAAAAACATATGATTTTTTTTAAAATTCTCAGTTTTACTTTTAGTTTGCTTTTGCTTTAATAATGAATTCACTATGATCACTCTCATATGTTCCTTTTGTAAATTTTCACACCCTCTTCACACTTGTTAAATTGACAATCAAATACCTTTATTCCGACTCAACAGCAATTTTATCCTTATCAAATTTCTTTGTTCCGTTGAGTACCACGTAATTTACAACTTTTCTTTTTCTTTTCTGAAGCCACTTCTGAGTAATTATATCAATTATGTCACCCCCTATTATTCAATAATAGACCGCTATATATTTTTGTAAGTATAAATTTAATAAAGTTGAAATTTCACTTTGATTTATGAAAAGGAACAGGAGAACACACTGCACTTTCTTGACATCTTACCTATTTAACAGCAGGCTAGGGCACTTTTCAGAAGTATGTACACGAAAAAACATTCACAAGAAAATATACTCACTTCCTTCCCTATCTTGCTAGGAGAATTAGAAAGAATTCTTCAGAAGCCCATTTACTAATGGAATGTGAATAAGTGCATGATTCCTTAATGAAACAGAAACACCTAGTTAGTGTCACGTAGAAACATACGGACAAATTATCTGGAAGACAGCAAACGATGACGGTATGTGTAAAACACTTTATTTATAAACATTCAATTTGAGAGAGATATATAAAGTAAATATTTTCATGGATTAATAAGAGTTATTCGTAAGATATTATGCCTGCGATTACTCGTGAATTAAACTAAGAACAAACCAGCTAATTTTGACAAACTTCTATGTATTTATCAATTTAGTTGATTTACTACAAACACTTATATTGGGCATGCTAATAGACAGCTTAGCCAACGTCTTGCAAAAGACCTTCCATCATGGTTTAGTAAAGAACAGTTAAAAAGCATGCGAAATTCAGTTTTGTCGCATTCACTTGTTTGTCTAAAGCGATTAGCATTCAAACTATTAAATCCTTAACTTTGTGTTAAGAAAAGATTGGGATACTGATTATTCGTCGTTTGACTTGTGTAGACCTAGTCAGATAATTATACCACTGCTTCACTCACACACATTGAATCACTTTCTGATCACATTTTTGCCGAGGCTTTCTTAGTCGTATCGCATTTTCATTAGAACAGAGTTTATCTACGTCCCTTACAATTTAGCTTTTCTTAAGCATTTGTCTATTACGTCAATTTGAATGTTTGTTTGTATTGCTCAGATGTTATCAGTATTCTCACTACATCGAGTCGTTCCATTATCCATTATCATTCCTACTTCTAACCTTATAACTGCTATTATAATAATAATATATTATAATATTATTATTATTACTGCCAGTAAAAGCAGAATTCAAAGACATCATACTATTGACATATTATCATGATTCATTGTTTCGTATTTGATATTTATTCTATTCTTACAAAGTTGTGCATGTTAGAATAATAAAGCCTTAGGATATCCCCTTGCAAGTGATGTTGTTCACTTGTGTGTATTGTTCTTAGTTTGAATTGTGGGATTTCTAGTATCAAGATATTGTGTGAAAGTGTGATTTCACAGCTACGCAAGTGAACCTGAAGAAGAGAAACTCTTTCACGAACTGCGAACTCTTCCCTTTCCGATGCTGCAATGAATATCTTCGATAAACAGAACGAAGTTCTCCTGCCTCAAAGGTGTGGGAACGATTGATATGTTGACAGCTTGAATGTTTCTCAGGTAAAATGACATTACAATCACAATTCCTACGAAAAATGGAATCCACGTTACCACTAGCATTAGCTATCATTCCGTAGGACAATAGCCTAGCCATTCAGATGCGTTTTCCATCATTCCTAGTGAGTACACGTGAACGTAGATACAACTTTTGTCGAACTGTTTCAATCATTCTATTCACCATTCTCTGGATAAGAAGTTAAATGTGGATGACTGCAGGCATTAACTCAACCAGTCAACAATAACTTTCCTGAATTCTGTTGACATATTCGGTAAACTGTCGTCTGTCATTGTTTTCATTCACATGTTGAGAGACCTATCTTTTCAACTAACTAACTAACAAACCATGAACTCAGAGACACAACGACCAAGCGATATATTCGAAATCTGAACTTCGTTTACTCATCGGCTCATTCTCAACAGATCTGAGTCTTCAAATGCTGAACAATGAATGAGGAAGACAATGAATTTATTAAATAGTTAATTTACATATATCTACATATACAGTTTGTGTTAGATACTAGAGGAATCGAAGGAAAGAGAACTGTTGTCTGGTTGACATTTCAGCGATTAAGATGTTTCAAATTTGAGCATCTCCTCCATCTTCATCGCCCAGTATTGCATACGCTTCTCAATGCGTTTGCCCACTAATCAGGTGATAGAAAGGTGAGTAGAACAGGTTAATGAATGTGTGAATATGACTCACTTATTTTGGCGACCTCCAACAATTTCTTGTCTAAATCATCCTTCCTCAGATATTTATCGACAACCTTGCAGATATGCATTCGTCCCTTTCTGATTGACTCCTTCATCACCATGTATATTGGCATCTACAAATCAAATGGTTATTTGATGTGTTTGTGCATGACACGCGTGATGTGATTACCATTCCACCTTCCATTTTGGCCATGTCCGAATGTGTTTTGTTCTCCTTATGGTGTTCCTCTTCATGGTGGTCTGTTTCTGTGGCGTTGACACTGTGAAGGGATTGGAAACAGAGATGTTAGTAATGTGGGATGATATCTTGTTTCTAAACATTTGAATGATCGCAGCGTTGTAACACGACAGTTTTAGACGAATGCTTAGAGTTGAGGTGTTTGCATACTTAACATGTTAATTGGATGGTGAAATCTCTTCCAACTTGCATATAAATTGTTCCCAACAATGTATAGTCTTGAATATTGACTAACTGTTTAGCGTCATGACAGCTTTTAAGTGTCACTTTCACTACTGCATGAATATATATTAACATGGACCTAGTATTTCATACGCTTTTATTCCCAATCATCTTAGGAATTCGCGTATTCTGATGAATGCACCAGATTCCCATTTTCTGATTGGTTTGCTTGCAAAGCG